GCTTATCACTATTATGGTTGACTCAGTCACCCGCACAGACTCGTCTCGAGTCAGAATTTTGTGAGTTCAAGCCCCAAGCAAGGGCTTTAAGCTCAACAGTCCAGGCTGACGCTCCAGGGCAGGGCTGGGGGGAGAGAGCCCCGTGTTGTCAGAGGTGCTGCCTTTCAGATTTGAAAAAAATGTTTTTTGGGTCAGTCGGGTGTCTGACACATGCGTAAACCCACCACTGTTGTTTAAGATCCAAACCGAGCTGAGAATTCTCCACATCCCACCTACACATGGAAATCTCAGAGATAGATGGTTGGAATGGAATGCGCTCTCTCTCTCTCTCCCTGGAGGGACGCCCCCTCCTTACACGCGCCTCTGTTTACCAACAGTCAGTAGGAACCCGGTTGTTTAGTTGAGTCCAAGAGTGTGGTTGGGGGTAACTGTTGGGAGTCTAACCAACTAAACCCACACACCGCGTGGTCATTGAGTGAGAGAGAGACAGAGCCCGAGCGCTGTCTGGCCAAGCTTTCCCGCTGCTTATCCAGCCAGGACTCTCCCCTCAGTTAGGGCTTTGGCTGCGGGGTTAACGGTAGGTGAGGGGGGAGGATTCCCTGTCCAGCTGATGAGACGTTAAACTTGACTCCACATCTGCGTCCTGTTCATTAAAGATCTCCTGCGGCGCTGGGGGAAAAGAGAAGGGAGTCTCTCTCTCTCTCTTTCTCCAGGTATCCTGGTCGACAATCTCCCAGATAAAATCACTTGTTTACTTCATGGTGGGTATGTCACTGTGCCCAAAAAGACTGCCACATTTGCCTATAAAACACACATTCACTGCACTTTCCAGTGAATCAATCCTGTGAAGTGTTTTGAGACGTCCCTGGGATGTGAAACTCTTTGATCCAGTTAGGATTTACTGAATTTCGCTGTTACTGAATATGGTGTTTTTTCCCCACCTTATGTTGCCTGGGGAAGGGAGGAGGTGGGGAGAGAGAGTGAGAGTGAGAGGGAGAGAGAGAGTAGAGGGAAGGAGAGGGTCTGAGGGTGTTCACACATCCTGTGTGCTGCAGGGCGAAACATTAGGCAAGTTTCCTTACTCTGCACACACACACATGAGCACACACATACACACACACATACACATGCCTCGGTTTACCAGCAATAAGTAGGAACCCGGTTGTTAGTCGATTGACGAATCGCTTTTCGAAGGTAATTATCCTTTCAAAATAAAAATTGGCCGCTCATCCATGACTGTTTATGGGGACGTCGTTGGGCGCAATTGGCTACCGCATTTCGCCCACAAAACACACAGTATCTATACTTCACAGTATATCCTGTGAACTGCTTCGAGACGTCTTGAATACGTGATAAGGCGCTCTGTCAAATGCAAGGCTTATTATTAATATTATGGTTCTGTTACAGGGTTTCCTTACTCCACACAGAGCCTAATAATAATTCCTCCAAAACAAAAACAATAATAAATTGGTCATTTTCAATCTACGACTGTTTGTGGGGCATTGCTGTGCGCAATCGGCTGCCGCGTTCGCCCACAAATATACAGTCACTTCACTTTACAGTGTGTTCTGTGAAGCGCTTTGGGATGTCTCCGACGTGAAAAGCGCTATATCAAATGAGAGGATTATTATTATTATTATTATTATTAATGCTCTCTCTCCTCTCTCTCTCTCAGGTGGTCAGGAAGAAGGCCCACATGGCGGTTGGCTCTCTGACCATCAATGAAGAACGTTCTGAGGTCGTGGATTTTTCTGTACCTTTCATAGAGACTGGAATCAGCGTCATGGTCTCCCGGAGCAATGGCACCGTCTCCCCCTCAGCGTTCCTAGGTAACTGGCCTCTGACACCCTCTCCCCTCTCCTCCTCTCACACACTCTCCCTCCCTTTCCCCCTCCCCCTCCAACTCCCCTCTCCTCTCAGCCTCTCCCTCACTTTCCCCTCTCCTCTCTCCCTCTCACACCTCTCCCTCCTTCTCCCACCCCTCACCCCTCTCCCACCTCTACCCTCTCCTCTCACTCTCTCTCCCCACCTTCTCCGTTCCCCATCCTCTCCCCTCTCTTCTCACTTTATCGCGTCCCCTGCCTTTCTCTCCTCCCTTTCCTATTGTCTCCCTCTCTCCCCTCCTCTTCCTCTGGCCTCCTCTCGTTGCCCCCTCCTTTTCCTATCCCTTCCGCTCTCCCTCCTCTCTCTCTCCCCTCTTCTCCCTCCCCCCTCTCTCTCCGCAGCCCACATTCCGAGGCTCACTCCTTCTGTTTGGCTCTGCTCTCTCGGATTGTACTGTGTGCTGTGCGAGATACGTACAGAGTGTTGCATGCTCTATGCTGCGTGCTATGCGCTCTATACTGCTGTAACTCAGTGGTTAGGGCCTTCGCCTCGCAAGTGAGAGTCCCGGGTTTGATTCCCGGCAGGATGAAACATTGGGCAAGTTTCCCCCCCCACCTCCCACCCACCCACCCCCCCAATAAAAATACAATCAATAAAAAAGATAGAAAGATAAATTAAATGGTTTACAGCAGGAAAATTGTCTCCCCTCCCAACACACACACACACAAATATACACACACACACAGACACACACACAGGATCCAGTTGCTGTTGCTGCAGAGGTGATGAGAGAATACAAAATAATGGGGAAATGTGTTAGAGTGGGACTAACTGACTGGTCAGTGCACACACACACACACACACATACATATACATATGTGGGATGGAATCTCTGCTCCAAGTGATCGCATCTCACGTCATGTTCATCCCAATCCAGGAGCCTGTGCTGCTACTGCCCCCTCCTGTTCATCTGTGCCACTGCAACAGCCCCCACTTTAGCCTCCCCCACCTCCCCCCCTCCCGACGACGAACGACTCGCTCGCGCCCCACCATCCAATGTGGATTCCACTCACAAACTACTTGACGTGACCTAAACGTTGTGTGTGCATCTGAAGAAAAAGCGTCGTACCACACATGACCAACTTGTTTAGGGATCATATCGCATCCAAAAATATGCCCATGACACTCCCCCTCCACATGCAAGACTTTTCCGATGAGGTTATTGCGTTATTGACGGACAGACATACATTTCGTCATTGTTGGTATAGATATATCTCTCGAGAAGGATTGCAATTTCCTCTGTCGCACATTTGTTGCCATGCATACCTCATATTTTGAAGCTTAATTAATGCATTTTTAATATAGCTCATAAACAATAGACAATACCCCCCCAAAAAATGAAATATGCCCATGACACTCTCGCATGCAAGATCTTTCTGATGAGGTATAAATCATGTCTCTACGTCAATCGGTTATTGCGTTATTGGTGGACAGACACACAAGACATTTTGTCTTTATTAGTATAGATAATCCTTTGCATTTGGTATAACGCCTTAGCTCCATAAGTAGCTTGGTACACTCGCCTCGCAAAGGAGAGGACCTGGGTTGAATTCCGTTAGTCACGTTAGGCAAGTTTCCTTACACGCGCCTCTGTTTACCAACAGTCAGTAGGAACCCGGTTGTTTAGTTGAGTCCAGAGAGTGCGTTGGGGGTAACTGTTGGGAGTCTAACCAACTAAACCCACACACCGCGTGGTCATTGAGTGAGAGAGAGACAGAGCCCGAGCGCTGTCTGGCCAAGCTTTCCCGCTGCTTATCCAGCCAGGACCCTCGTCCCCGTCAGTTAGGGCTTTGGCTGCGGGGTTAACGGTAGGTGAGGGGGGAGGATTCCCTGCCCCCAGTGACTGGTCTGTCCCTTTCAAGTTGTAACGTTCATTCATACCAGTAGGGGGCGCTGGTGGCCAGAATTCAGCTGAAAAGTGCGGTCAAACTTTACTCCCTCTACACTGTGCGTCCGTCCACACTCCCAGGTCAGGGGTAGAGACACAGTAAAGCCCTCTACCACACAACCACTGCCAACCAGTGGCTGTTGGTAGCATTTAAGTCAGTGAAAGAAAACCACATGAACTGTTAGCAATTTTTTACTTTTTATAAAAACTTGTTATAAAGCAAAAATGGTGAGAGACAGCGCTGCGCCTGATACCGGCACCGGGACAACTTACATCGGTGGAACCCGTTTCACATCAGATCTCAAAGTCTTTCCCACAGCAAACTGGGCAACGAGGCCTGGGGTAGTGTGTCATGGGTGGGGGGGGGGGGGGCGTGGAGAGGGTTTAAGTGATGGCAAAAGATCACTCACTCACTCGCCTCCGAGTCAGAAGGCTGTGGGTTCAAGCCCCACATCGGGGTCTCTGAGCTCACAGTCTAGGCTGACACTCCAGACCAGCGCTGGGGGGAGAGAGAGAGAGAGACACTGTCCTTCAGATGAGATGTTAATGATCTCCCACGACGCTGGGGGAAGAGAAAGGTGTTCTCTCTCTTTCTCGGTCACACTCGCTGCCGTGTTCGCCCACAAAACACACAGTCAGTCACTGCACTTGATACTTTGAGAGGTTAACGGTGCTATATCAAAGCTTTTTTTTGATAAAATTAAGCAAAAATGACATCAGAATGAGAGCGTTGGGGGCGGGCGGTTCGGGTTGGAGGCAGCTCAGCACCCACCCCCTGCAATCTATCTACAACCTCATCCCTTTAAAGGTCGATGTTGCATAAAAGAGGAGCGTTACCTCTTTAAGGGGTGTGGGTGGGTCCGCCCGAGCTGAGGGCAGGTGTCAGTCACCTCAGGAAAGGTGGGGCGGCCATCTTTGATGCTGGCACTGAGGCTGCACCTGCCTTAAAGGGGAACTGACCCCAACAAGAATAATGTTACACAACGACTGTGGTTGGGTGGGGGGAAGGGGGGGGTGGGTTTGGGTTTGGGGTGAACATACACAGAGATCTCACCCCCACACACACAAACCATAGACCCCCGCCGCCCCCCGCGCCTCACCACCCTCCCCAAACCGCCCCCCCCCAAAGCTGGATAAAATGTGTTGAGGAGAGCGAGATTATAAAATCAAGAAAAATATATCTCTATAAAAGTATTAATGTGGGTTTGAGTGGGTATAAAAATAACAATTTCCCATTTAAAAGGGCATAAAAAAATCCAGTTAAACACAGCGAGGGGCAAAGGCTGGGGTCAAAACAGTCCTGGGACTGGTCAGGTCAGGGTAAGGCAAGTCACTCAATTTCCCACCTCCCCCCCAGTGGAGACTCGTGTGTGTGTCCGGGCTGGGACCTTCCCGGGGGAAAAGCCAGATCCTATTCCCGCTTCCGGAGGATGAAGTACATGGAGCTGCTGGCGAGAGTCAGGACGAAGGAAATCCAAGCCAAGATATACCCAGAACTGAACCATTGGTTGACATCAGGTGGGAAGCACTTTGTGAAGACAGTTACACCAATCATCACACACAGACCTGCGGACACGAGGGGGGGGGGGGGGGGAGACAGTTAGATACATACAACATACACTGTCGAGTGTAGTGACTGTGTGCTTTGTGTGAGAAACACAGCAGCCAATTGCGCCCGGCGACGTCCCCACAAACAGCCATGGATTGACGTGTCCAAGTGTATTTTTTTAAGAGATTATTAACCTCAGAAAAGCGACTCACCAATTGACTAACAACCAGGTTCCAGGTGACAGAGAGTGTGGGTAACAGAGAGAGAGAGGGAGGGTGACAGAGAGAGGGGGGTGACGGAGGTTGGTGAGGGAGAGAAGGGGGTGAGGGAGAGAGGGGGGGTGTCGGAGAGAGGGCGGGTGAGAGAGAGGGGGGTGACGGTGGTTGGTGAGGGGGGGAGCGGTGATGGGGCAGTAGGAGGGGGTAAACTCACAGGAGATGAGCTGGAAGATCCCAGTGACAATGAAACGTTGCCCTTTCTTCAGGGTGAAGAGTTGACACAGGAAAATGAGCAGCGACAAACAGGTGAAGATCACGGCCAGAATCATGGCCGCCTGGACAACCTGCTGGGTATCTGTAACACAGAGAGAGAGAGAGAGCGAGAGCGTCAGAGACAGAGAGAGCGTCAGAGAGAGAGAGAGAGAGCGTCAGAGAGAGAGAGCGTCAGAGAGAGCGAGAGCATCAGAGAGAGCGAGAGCGTCAGAGAGAGAGAGCGTCAGAGAGTGAGAGAGCGTCAGAGAGAGAGAGAGCATCAGAGAGAGAGAGAGAGCGTCAGAGAGAGAGAGAGAGAGCGTCAGAGAGAGAGAGAGTGTCAGAGAGAGAGAGAGAGAGCGTCAGAGAGAGAGCGAGAGAGAGCATCAGAGAGAGAGAGAGAGCGTCAGAGAGAGAGAGAGCGTCAGAGAGAGAGCGAGAGAGAGCATCAGAGAGAGAGAGAGCGTCAGAGAGAGAGAGAGCGTCAGAGAGAGAGCGAGAGAGAGCATCAGAGAGAGAGAGCGTCAGAGAGAGAGAGAGCGTCAGAGAGAGAGAGAGAGCGTCAGAGAGAGAGAGAGAGAGAGAGAGCCAGAGAGAGAGAGAGAGCGTCAGAGAGAGAGGAGAGAGAGAGAGCGTCAGAGAGAGAGAGAGAGCGTCAGAGGGAGAGTATCAGAGAGAGAGCGTCAGAGAGAGAGAGAGCATCAGAGAGAGAGAGCGTCAGAGAGAGAGAGAGAGAGCGTCAGAAAGAGAGAGAGCATCAGAGAGAGAGCATCAGAGAGAGAGAGCGCGAGCGTCAGAGAGAGAGAGAGAGAGAGTGTCAGAGAGAGAGAGAGAGAGTGTCAGAGAGAGAGAGAGAGAGCGTCAGAGAGAGAGAGAGCGTCAGAGAGAGAGAGCGTCAGAGAGAGAGAGAGAGAGAGCGTCAGAGAGAGAGAGCGTCAGAGAGAGAGAGAGCGTCAGAGAGAGAGCGAGAGAGAGAGAGAGCCAGAGAGAGAGAGAGCGTCAGAGAGAGAGAGAGAGCGTCAGAGAGAGAGGGAGAGCGTCAGAGAGAGAGAGAGAGCATCAGAGAGAGAGAGAGAGCGTCAGAGAGAGAGAGAGAGAGAGAGCGTCAGAGAGAGAGAGCATGAGAGAGAGAGAGCGTCAGAGAGAGAGAGAGAGAGAGAGCGTCAGAGAGAGAGAGCGTCAGAGAGAGAGAGAGTGTCAGGGAGAGAGAGAGAGCGTCAGAGAGAGAGAGAGAGGAGAGTGTCAGAGAGAGAGAGCGTCAGAGAGAGAGAGCATCAGAGAGAGCGCGCAAGAGAGCGTCAGAGAGAGAGAGAGAGAGCGTCAGAGAGAGAGGGGAACAATCAGTAGGCCCTCGCACACTCACTCACACACATTCACACACACACACACACCCACTCACACACTCATTCACACACTCACACACACACACACACACACTCAACAACAACAACAACAACAAGATTCCATTTATAAAGCGCCTTTCACGTCAGGAGGACGTCCCGAGGCGCTGCACAGTTGGGTCAGGACCCGAGCATTGGGGGGAAATGGTCAGGGTGAGGGGAGGGAGCGAGGAGGGGGGAAATGATCAGGGTGAGGGGAGGGAAGGGAGGGAGGGAGGGGGCGAGAGGGGGAGAGAGTCGAGAGGGGAGCTGAAGGTACGGTCAAAGAGAAAACTCACACACTCATTCACACACACACTCACTCATACA